AGGTGGTGGAGTGATAAAGCGAGGGGTGGAACAATATAAACGGTTGACGTCTCAGCAATTTACAGTAATCGAGCTCGTTTAGAAAGGATCGACGAATTGGGCATCATCGCCGCACCACACTCCTGAATTGTGAAAAAGACGACCACAACCGATGGAGGATGCATCTGTCAACGTTTTCAGTGAAGATACATGCGCTCCATTTTGCCCATTCCGAGAGTGGAGTGGCGAGGCCCATTGTCGAACGGGAGTTTTTTTTTTACTTCTTTGTCCTTTTCTCTGAGTCCAACGGCAAAATTAGATGCACGTCCTAAAAAAAACAAAAGGGATGCACGGCAGCTCCAGCTATGTTGACGCTGTGCAACAACGTTATGTTATGGCTGTTTCTCGAGGAGGTGATGGGGCGGGCCGTGGAAAACCAACACTCCAGGCTTCAGCAGTAGCCTCACAGTCTACACATAAGTGGGATGCTGCTGATGAAACGATTTCCTCTGCTCTTTCGAATACGAAAAGTAAGAGTAACTCACTGCAGCCCCTCTCAAGGTACGTCTGTTTATTTCCACCGTAACGCTCGCCCCCTCCTCTCATCACTACCTTCTCTCTCTCTCTCTCTCTCTCTCTCTCTCTCTCTCTCTCTCTCTCTCTCTCTAGCAAATTTCCTTTATATCGCGGAATATTCAATTGAATTTGTTTTCTTTTCTGGGAGGAGGGTTACTCTTTCACCTCTCTCTCTCTCTCTCTCTCTCTCTCTCTGTGTGTGTGTGTGTGTGTGTGTGTGTGTGTGTGTGTGTGTGTGTGTGTGCCGGTAAGAATGAGCAAATTTCCTTTCTATCTCGCGCAATATTCAATTGAATTTGGATTTTTTTGGGGGGGAGGAGGGGTAGTCTTTCACTCTTCTCTCCTTGTGCTCTCTTCCCGGGTTGCCAGTTCCCCCCCCCGTGCTAGAACATTGAGATGCAAACATGTGTCTGCACTTATTCTTAGTTCTTGTCCTCTCTCCATCAGCCCGTGAGTGATTTCAAGCTTCATCTGTCTGTCTCGGGTACTCTCTCTCTCTCGCTCTCTCTCTCTCTCTCTCTCTCTCTCTCTCTCTCTCTCTCTCTCTCTCTCTCTCTCTCTCTCTCTCTCTCTCTCTCTCCACACACACACGCACACACTCTCTCTGTTTTGTCTGCTTGCTCTATCTCAGGTCCTCTCGCCTTGTGCGCAGCGGGCAAACCGTTTGTTATCTCCTCAGCTGCCTTGTCCACGGATAGCAGTTTATCCTCTCCACTCTCCTCCCAAGGTGGACACTTAGTCGTTTTTTTCTAGTCAATTTGTTCTTGTCCATCACCCATCTTCTCTCCTTCACTTACTTCATGCTTCTGTCACATTTTCACACCTTCTGCCCCATCCCAGCTTTCGTTTCTCCTCGAGTTTCTGTTCTTGTCAGTTTCTCCCCTTGTTTTTTTTTTCTTTTTTCTTTTTTTTTTACGCTCTCGCCCGACTGTCTCTCACTCGCATCTGCTTTTTTCCCTCCTCTCCTCTTCTCTTTCCGTCTCCTTTCTGTGGTTGTCTTTCTCTTCATTCCACTTATCACCTGCCCTTTCTGCTCCTCCTCCTCCTCCTCCTCCTCCTCCTCCTCCTTTCTTCGCTTTCACTCCTCCTTCCTCTTTGATTTCTGTTCTTCTCACTTTTTCTCTCCTCCTCTCTTGCCTTGATGTTGTCGTTTCCCCTGTTTGCCTCTTAGAACTGGATATTGATCGGTCACCTACCGTTTTCCTTTCTCCTCTTGTCCTTCACTTCTCTTCTCTTTCTACTCTCTTCCTCTTCCTCTTCTCCTCTTCTCACTTCTTTTCTCTCGCGCCTCGATGTTGCCTTTACTTCTCTTTCTTCTCTTTCTACCCGCTTCCTCTTCATGTCTTCTTCTCTTCTCCTATTCTAACTTCTTCGCTTCCTCCTCTCTTCGTGTCTCCCCTTCTTCTTTCCCTCTGTCTTCTTCTCTTGTTCCCATCTCTTCCTTCTCCTCTATCACTTAGTGTTGCCAGTTTCACTCTTCGCTTCTGCAAATTAAAATCCTTGCATCGTCTGTGCCTGGGATTCTGATGGCCAAGTGTGAAGCGTGGCTGGCACTGAACCTGCAGATGTAGTGTCTGTCCTGTATTGTACTAGGGAGCACAACCAGATATCCGCCCTGACTTTTATGCCTGGATCGATCTGGCCTAAGTTGGGAAAGCGACCTTCCAAGGCTTGCAAGCCTCCAAGTTTTTTTTTTTTTTTTTTTTTTTTTTTGGGTTGAAAAAGCTGTATTCTTCTCTCAGTTTCACCTCACACTACCTACCTTCCGCTACTCCTAATTGTAGGCATATTACGGGGAATCCCGTAGCATCCAGAACCGTGTTCACGAGAGAACATGCGGGGGCTGCTCTTGACCTGCAGGTGGGCGATACCGGCTAGGGGGCAGCCGGTAGGATTAGGGACCATGCCAACAGGACCAATCCCTGTGCCTCCCCTCAGGTGGTGGTCCCCTCCCCCACGAACATCATCAGACTCCGCTCAATGCAGATTGGGGGATCCAGTGGTCTATCTCTAGGTGGTGGGCGTCAAGCATGCCCAGGAAGGTACCATGAGGCCAATGGGGATTGAACCCGCGACCTCCTGAATGCCACTTGCGAGCCTTGCGAACTGAGTTTGGCTGCTGGATTAGCCTTAGCCCAGGCCCGAAGTGTTTTGGGCAGCACACGTAAACCGGGAAGAGCCTGACTTAGGGCATACTCACACTAGTACGTACTAGGTACAATTGCAAATTATACGTATGCTATACGTATGCGAATTTGCGTTGATGTGGTAATGCCCAGTCACATAGTATTTGGTGCACAAAATGCAAGATACATGACCGCGACTGGCCCTCCAAATGTGATTTTATGGGCCGTGTAGTCAGTCGCATGGCGCGATGTAGAAGAATAATCAGGCCGCTGACATTTACGTATGAAAAATGAGTGAGAATGCAAAATACGCTCCCTGTATGGCCCAAGAAATTATGCATTATTTGGGAAAATGCAATTATATGTGATAGTGTGAGTATGCCCTTAGGTTCAGGGGAACTTGTGTTTTAACTTATC